TGTAATTTATTTTTTGGGCTTTTTTGATTCCCTCATCACCCATTTAGTCAAAATCTGAACAGTCTAAAACGCAAACAAAGGAAGAAAAAGCTGGAAGTGGAAAATGTGTGGAATTTGTAAAAGTGATCAGTCAAACAAAATCGGACGAGCGAGTTCTCAGTGTTGCTCGTGACGTCATTTAACAGCATTGATGGCTGTGAATGAATGAATGAATGGGAAGCCCAGCTGTCCCCGGAGTGAGCACTCACTCGCTGTTGTTTACAATCCTGCCTGCGCTTCGTTTTTGCTTTTGTCACTTCCTGTAAGTGGGAGTCTGAACAAGCACAGACGTGACCCTCTGTTTGCCTCGATCCAAGCTGACATTTTTCTAACGTAACACAAATCAGTCCTGCTTGAATGCCAGACATTGTTTTTTGTTTCCGGCTTTAATAAAAACAATTTGGGACATGTTCAGAATAGCTTTGACATTTTGCTGAATGCGGGGCTCCTCTCTCTCATTCACCCCAGTCGGAAGAATATGCGTCGGAAAACCTCCCGGTGTATCAAAGATGAGGCTCGTTCAGTCTATCCGTGGAGCGTTGCCATGGAGATAACTAAAGGCAACACTGCTTTGGTATATAAACAGGAGGAAGGCAAAAAAGACAACAAGAGAAAAGAGACAAACCTATTCTTTGATAGCCGTGGTTATACGCTCTTATGTAAGCCAAGCTAAATGCAGAAAGGCACACTGGGTGCTGAATGTGGATTTGTGTGTGTGTTTGAGGGCTGAATAGAAAAAATGAAGCATCAGCTCTGAGCACACTTGACAAACTAAGTGTCTGTGACTATCAGGCTGCTTGAGGCCTCTCCTCATTCCCTCCGGGCTACACCAGCAGAGCTTCATACACTTATGTATAATTTCACATGACCTCAGCTGAATGCACTCTGAAAAGGTATCAGTCAGTCTGCTGGTACATCAACAACCGTCATATTGTACACACACTATGCAGACAGCTACCACACTATAGTGCTTGATTTTGTGTATCAATAGTCAGTAGAACATTTTGTACAACAACACATCTGGGGGTGGATTTACCCGAAATGTTATGTCGACTTCTCTCTCCACCTGTATCCCACTGGTCTATCGATCCCTTTCTCCATCTCCCTACCGAAATGTCACCATGTTTCTCGGTCTATTTCTATCTCCCTACCTTCAGCCATCTGTCTGTCACTGTTTCTTCACCTCTGCCAATCAGCTTTTGTGGTCGGTTTGTTTGTCTGGCAGGATTACTAATGAAGTTATGGACAGTTTGGCGCAACTTAGAAGCAACTAACTTTCACAGTCTATCTAGATCCACATCCAAAATCGGGTGTTTTTGAAGGGTTTTTTTTGACAACTCCTTAGTATTGCCAGATAACTGGAAATGGGGAAAACTGGGGGACATTGTCCTGATGATGTCAGGAAACCTAAATAATCTCTTGGATTCAGAGGCTCACTTTAATTTATGCAGATTTTCAGTTATGCAGTCTCTTGAATTCTCTCGTTCCTATATGTTTTATCTATATTTATTTCCTTCTGTCTATATTATTTCGTCTAGATATAGATATATAGACTGCATCTATATCATCACCTCATATCACTCTTTATCACTCCGTTTACCTGTATTCCCCATCTCTCTATTCTCATTGCCATCGATCTCCATCTCTACATCTGTTTACTCCTTACTTCTGTTCGTCTCTTTTTCTGTTGATATCTATATCTATCTCTCTGTTCCCACCTCTAGCTCTGTCTCTCGCTCTCTCTCACTGCTCTATGCATATTTCCAGTTACTGTGGAGACACAACAGTGTTACACAACAGTCTTTTGGGTTTATTCAGTGCATGGAAGGCACCAGCAATGCAGCGCGACTTCTTACTGACACACGATGCCCCTTTAACACAATCAGCTCACCTCCTGCTGCCTTGTGCCCGGCCTGTATGATCACACTTGACATAAAGGGCCACATGTTTTTTAAGACCTCCTGTTGCTGAATACTCAAAGACCCCAGGATTTTATTAGTTAGCTCGCTACGGAGATTTACTGCCACAGTCCTGTGCTGCACCACGTCCACTGTGGTGTTATTAACTGGACAGTCGTGTAATCAAGTGTGTTAGTGGGTGGAGGAAAAGTGTCAAATGGTTAGGGGGGGATCTACCCCATGTAGGATGGTTGCCAAGAAACAACCAAGAAGATGGCAGAAGATGGTTACAATGTGATGTTTTGTTAAATGAAACAAATACGCAGCTGTGTGTGAACATCTTCGTGCATGCACAGACTTGCTCTAACCTGCTGTGTTTGATATGTGTGCTTACCTCTGATTGGGTCCAATGGGGGGATGCACGGGTATCCCTGAGACGGACTTCCTTAAGCCCCTGTCTCTCTCTGCTTCTCCCCTCCCTCCGGGTTCTCCTCCATCCCTTGGCACTGAGCTGGCCCGTTTGGACCCGCGGTGGCGGTCGGAGTGATCCTCGCTCCGACTGCGACGGATTCTGCCATGCGGCTCGCTGATGCTCTTGCTGCGGCAGAGTCGGTTGATCACGTTCTGGGAGACGGTGTCGTCGAAGCGCTGCCGGTGCTTCTTGGGAATGAAGATTCTGGCCAACATGGCAGCATATGAGGAAAACAAATTGGTTGGTGTTAACTGTTTTTCCATAAGAGTTCCTCTACGAAAAGCAAAGAGATGGGTAGAGGATGGATCTACATCACAGATCCACCTCGATCCATTTTAAAGACACAAATTCCACAATCACGACTCTGAGAGCGATGACAGCCAGTGTTGGAAGAGATTAAAAGTTATGATACACTTCAAACTCTACTGAGAAAATGTTCACAGTCCTACTCGGCACAGATTCGGCTCAACAGGCTTCCATCTTCATGTCTCAGATCTGAAGAAAAGATGAAAAGGTTTTGACTGAATGGAGAGTCTTTCCCCTGACTGAAAAAGAAAAGAAGTTGAATTTGATGCAATCTTTCTCTGAGGAAATAGACGGTGAAGAAATCGTGGCGTCACTCACTGCTTGCTGGAGTCTTACTGCTGCAGCAGGGGTACCAGAGCCAGAATACAGCATGAGAAAAAGGTGTGGGAGTGAGTGAGCAAGGGATTTCTCCTCTCTCTCTCTCTCTCCATACAGCAACTGATTCTCGGTCTTTCCTACACTTCCGTCTACACATCACCTACAACTGAGGCAGGAAGCTGTCATTTCATCCACCTAGGCCCTGACAAGGAAACGCAAAGTGTAACGCACTGGGATAAAATAGGGGCAGGGGCATCAATTACAGTGAAATACTGAGTTAAACTGTATGAAATCACAATGTTTTTTTATTTTGTAATCCAATGTGATTTCCTACTAAACACCTACTGTTTTCATTTAAATATCAATATACAGCTATGACATCGATAAAAGTTATTTTCCTGAAGTCTTACTTTGAGAAAAGTCAAACACTTGAAATGTTATGCTTGTAATATAACATTTTAAACATAAGCAGTCACAGTGACTGATATGTTATAGCAGCTGAACACTGGTAGGGTTAGTCGTCATCACTCATGAGTGATGAGTAACTATCCCCTGTGGAGCCTACAGTTGGTTGCTGGGGTGCTGAAGGGTTTCAAACAGTAGCCGTGCTGGCTTGTCAGATGGAGGGGTGGGACATGCAGCTGACATCGAGAGTGGGAGCATTTATCTGGTTTATGCTGTAAAAACAATAAGACACATTGCAACAATCCAGAGGGGATGAATTCATTATTTTAACCGCTTACAAACGATGTATGGAATGTTTTTTACATAACCCTAGCCCTAATCCTAGCCAATCAGAATTGAGATTTAATGGTATTATTCTCCCAGAACAAAGAAAATAACCTAATAATCTAAAACTATACATCTGTTTTTCTCCCCCCAAAGAGTTAGGTTTTGCCTTTCTCTAGGGTTATGATCTATGACGACCGATATCGAAAGCTACGTTATCCACACACAATAATAGAAATAAACATTGTGTAACACTTATGAATTAATAATTAATGAGGTATAAGTATTTGATCACATTTGTTACTTGGTGGAGTAACCATCCTTAGCAAGCACAGCTTTTAGATATTTCTTATAGCTATTGCTAGGTTTGAGCTAAGTTTTCAGCTCTCCTCTTTCCTGATCTTCTCCAAATTCTTAATGCTACTTCACCTCGAGACTATGATGTGCTTCTTCTTCTCGAGGGACTCCTTTGTTGTCTTGGCATATGCTTTGGATCAGTGTCCTACTGGACCTGCCCATGATGCGTTTGTCGGGCCCCGGCTGAGTGAAGGAGATTCTTGTCCAAGATTTGTCCATCTTTCCAATTGAGCGATACAGTCATCGTGTAGCTTTGGCAGAAAAACATCCTCAGAGCACAAAGCTTCCACCACCATGACAGTAGGGATGCTGTTCTTTGGGTCACATTCACCCTTCTCTTCACTCCAAACACAAATGAGTGGATTGATACAAACCAAGTCAATTTTGTTCTCATGTAACCACATCACAATCTCAGAAGTCTCACCTGAATCATTCAGGTGTTTCTTTGGGGGTTTGTGTTCTTTTTTTTCCTTTTTCTTTTTTTACAAGTTTGTAAGAATTTGACAATTTTTGCTACGTAGCGTTACAGATACTTTTCGCTGCTACCGAAAACATGTAGAGGTTCTCTTGCTCGTCTTTCTAAGCAGACTGGGAACAAACTAAATATCAAAGAGGGGGATAAGAGTGAACTGTACATGCTGTTTCTTATGGAGTGCTGCAAACAATAGCAGTGACTAAGAGACAAAACAAAACAAGTCCCCACTCACCAGCAAACACACACACACACACACACACACACACACACACACA